TAGCCACTATAGCAAACCATAGCCCAATGGTTGGGTATCCAAGGTCGAAAACATAATTACGATCATATTTCCAAATATCACACTAAAACTTACTAATTTACAGTGAGTTGGATGAATACTTTAAGGTTTCTGCATCCTTGACATTTGCCACATGTTATTCTCCCATCCCCTCCGCAGGTTGTGCACCTATGAACAACAAGATCATATACTTCAAGAGGCACAAGTGTATCACTTAGTGGGGTCAATTCTGCTACCCCTTGATATTTTTACATTATGAGGTCTTATCTTGGTCTGGTGATAAAAAGTTGTAAAATTATATGTAAGTAAATTGAAAATGCAGCAATCTAGTCTTTGTTAAGATCTCACAAAAATATTTTTGAATATTTATCCTATTGCGAGATAATTTAGTGGTCAAGCATCCATTGGTATTTTTGTGTTTGATGTGTTTTGCTCACCATGTACTTGATTTCAATGTGTTACCTTTAAATGTATTATTTGCAGAGTACAAGTGGGGTACAGAGAAAATACTTTTATAGAATCTTTTACCTTCTTCGGCCATCTCCACCACACCCGTGACATCGCTCCTGATGGGCGTGTCCCTCAGCATCATGACGCGTTACACGTCCATCTCCCCCACATGAGTGACATCGTACTTGTCCCCGCCCATGACAGCGGTAGCATCGGTTGAAGCCACGTCCCATACATACATGGCATGGCTAAAAATATTAATGGAATTGTTTTAGCCTATGAATCATTGCACTAACAATGTATTTGTTCTTTTGCTTAGAAGGGACACAATATGTACTATCATACTATGCTACATCAATGTCATTGGTTACTAACAGGATTGGAGTCATGGAAATTACCATTACCATTCATACTTTTACTACCATCATATGTGTTTAATGTATCACTTGTGCACATTACAAACTTGAACTAGAATGGCTTTCTCAGTATTCTGTTTAATTCAAACTAGAACGTCTTCTCACTTAATGTGCATGTACTATGTTTAGCTTGAAGAATTAGCTATTAAATTTGATCCTTCCTTCATGACCCACCTGAACTCTTGCTGTATGAGGCACTTCAATTTTCTTTGTATGGTTATTGAAATGTGAATTTGGTTCACAGGGTATCTGCCATGGACCAGGAGGCATTCCCATCTCAGGGCCATCTATTGGTTGTCCCCTGTAGGGCTCTTCAGCATACCCTGTGCTTCTAGCTTCTGAGAATGTCTCAAGTGTGTACTGTACAAAATGACAAACACAAATGTTAGAAATAGAAGAGAACACATTAATTGTTTAAGCAAGGATATCCTCAACAGAGGAAGCATTAGTACGAATTAATTTTACATGTACAGTAAAATCTATCTGTAGAAATTAACTTTTCCCAAATATTCACTGTAGGTTGGCGCTCACTTGAGAGGTGTTCACTCAAACAGGTTTCACCGTAAATGCTATACAAGATTAGTTTTGCAATCTGAGATATATTAATGCCTTATAATTTTGCAAATTGCTATTTCAGAGGTTTAGGCTATGAATATGAATAGTTATGGGCCTCCTAGAATCACCAAGGCACATGAAAGACAGTATTATAGCGAGGGGTCGTGGGTTTGATCCCCACTGGGGTGGACTGGCTTTTTCACATCAGCCCTGAGCACAGAATTTCATTCTGTGTTTTCATTAACTAATTGTATAAAATATTTTTACTTTCATTATTTAGTTTTTGGTATGGCAGTGATTGTGACTTGTGTCTGTATGTGACAAAGAATATTTAATGGGCATAAAAAGCAGGTTCAGTATGCCTGATTCTGCTTTAGATTAGAAATGCACCCACGTTTACTTCTGTTAAAAGAGATCAAAAGAATTATAATGGTGTCCCCGATCGTTTTTATATGTAATATTGCCTTAAGCTTCTCGTGACATTAAAGCGCATATTATCTTTACTGTATTATGTGTCATCATTTATATCAGAAGACAAAGAGTGATTTACATTATGGACTGATGGAATTACTTTCTCATCACCTGGGTTATTTATTAACCTTTGATTTTAATGTCTCATTGTTAGATATTGTGCACGAGAACTATGAGAAGAAATGTTATTGTTGTTTTATATTGAAAAGTGGTAAAATTTGGTTTCAGCAAAGTTGATGTTTCTGAATTTGTCAAAAAAATTCATCTTGGCAATTTATCTTGATCCATCAAGGAAGTATAACTAAAAGGTACTATTAGGTATTCTGACTGAAGGAAAATGCTGGCTTAACAGTATGGGCAAAATAGCCAGTAAACAATATCACGGGATATTGCACATATGAAATTAATTCATAGAATGAGGACAATTCGCAGGTTAATAGTGTTAAAGGCGACTTATTAACTCAGGTTTACGTACATGTAAGGCACTAGAAGGTGCAATATTCTGAATAGCCATTTCCTTAGCAGGTGATTTACCATAGCAACAGTGCTCAGCAACAAAGTTCATCATGGCTTCTCTGACCTGTTCCTCACTTAGGTTAGCCACACTGAAATATAGAGAGTTTTTAATTACAGATGTCCACTTTCCCAAGACCATAAGGGAAAGATTAGTTAGTGATATTTTACTAGTGACTATATATAATTGACAAGCTTATCAATATATATGAAGTTGATGTTTTATGATAATTTAGAGCTTATGTAAAAAAGAAATACTAGATTAGTTAAAAACTTAATCTGTATTTAAAAATTATATTTTTGAAAATATCACCTTGAATATATGAAAATATGTCAGGTTCTTGAATTTCTATGCTCACTATTTTGATAAAAGATGCTCGATATTGTTAATCATAAGATGCTATGTGAAAAACTTTTCCAGAAAGCACCTGAACCTTTGGTGGGAGGGTGGATAATTTTATTTATGGTAAATATATATACTGTACATTTCAAAAATTTAAAACTTTCCAAAAGTATTTGCAAAATTGAAAACTATATTGATCTTTTGTAAAGGTTATTTGAGATTAAAGTTCTGTTGCTTTAGCCTTATCCCTGACACTTTCTCCTTTCTAATGGTATATTTAAACCCTGGGCCAAATTGTGTCACTCTTCTGATCCTCATTTACTGAACTAAAAGACAATTCTCAGTGCTAACCTGTCAAACTGCATCAGTGGTGGCTCCCCAGTTTGCTGGGGAGGAGGTGGGGGAGGGGGACAGGGGTTAGCAGATCCAAAACCCCCAACATTCCCATAACCGTCATAGCTCTGCATGTTGTCCATTGGAGGATGACCATATTGAGGAGGGCCAGCATTAGGGTTGTCAATGGGGTCATCATCTGGCATATTGTCCCATTGGTAAGGTCCTCCCTGACCTGGCTGCCATGCTGAAATGCATATACAGAAAATAATCATATAATTCCGGAAGTAAAAGCATGAAGATGCTTATTGTAATATACATCCCCATTAGAATATAGGAATATAATATAGATTGAGTAATATTACACAGAGAATGTTAACACTGTGAGAGATAATATTAGAACAAAAGGTGTCAAGAGGTGTTTCTGCTGATTATTCATTGACATTATCAGAAGCCTCTATCACTTTCTTTCTGGTAGGTTAATAATATGAAAACAGATAGACGAGTCAAGACGTACCAGATTGCACTAGTGAATTGTAAACATTATACTACATTTTCATATTACAATTAGCCTGTGATTCTGGGAAGAGTTTCTGTATACATTCTTGGGAACACCTTATCTTTGGTAATCTTATAACACCCTTTTCTGACATACACTGTTTTTGCTATTCTTGTTTTTTATGTCACCACCACCGCCATCACCAAGTAGTGACATTATTATAGTCTCCAACAGTTTTGCTATGTCACCACCATACGTTGCCATAGTCTCCAACTTTTTCTGTGGATGGTGTTTGGCATTCCAAAGTTTATGTTCGGTGTTCAGCAGTTCGTGTTCAGTGTTTGGCATATGTAACAAAGAGCAGGTAGTGACATTTTGCATGTTGATGCTTTGTTTTTTCCTCTTGGGCTCTCTGATACAATTTTGTTTGTTTGACATGCAAGAGTTTTAGTTGTTGGGCTGTTATGAAATGTTTGTTGATAAATCTTTATTCCTTTATTTACAAACAACTAGAATTTTCTTGTTATAACTTAGGTCAACAATTTTGTGTCTAGTCTGTCGACACATTGGTTTAATGATTTTACATAGACACATATGTACAACAAGCTGTATGAGGTCATTATGGTACCTCTCTCGTTATTTCAAGGAATCACATTTGATATTATCACCTGTACCATGCCTGTAGAAATGCATATAAATCACCACAAGGTGAAAAAGACATTCTTATCCTCTCTTCTCCATCCTCTTTTCTCTCTCCTCTTTCTTTGAACTTAATTCAAAGCAGAAAAACATCATTTGAATATTACCTTGCTGATTACTTGGCATGTGCCCAGGGGGTGGGTATCCTGCACCACCTGTAAAAGCAACACAACATTTAACACATAAACACATGCAAAATACAGATATACAACAAAACATCAACAAGGCTTAAGTTATGTATAAGTGATTTTTATTCTTGAAGTAAATCTGTCCCCCTCCCCTCTCTAGAACCCATATTCTGTTTGCTTAATGTATTATGTTTAACTTGAACTTGAATGGCTTTCTCCATCATTGTAATATGTTTAGCTTGAAGAATTCATTCTTATTTATTGTATTATATCTAACTTGAACTGGAATGGCTCTCTCACTCAATGTGTTTACAAGTTCTATATTTTTTATAATTATATATTATCAACGTCACCTCTCAATATAATGTGAGTAAAGTCAATTTTTAATAGGATCTCATAATTATTCATATATATTATATCTCGACTTGACCAATATATACTAACTCAATGCAATATAGATGCAATTCATTGTTGCATGATTTGGGTCTTTCTTATCACCAGTATTTTGAGAAATGACATTTTATCATAGAGATGTTGAGGACACCTCTAGTCTCAATATGATATGATTGTTATTAACTAAACATTCTGCAAAGCATGAGCAATTTCAGTGAAATTGCTAAGTGATTGTAATTACAGGTTTTTGCATCGCTCTAAATGTAACCTGTAATGGATTTTGTAATGGATTCATTGTATTGGATCGAATGATTAAAGGTAGACTCAGATATAAAAGAGTGAGAAAAGCTACATGTTTTACTATACAAATCTTTGAATACGTCTGTTTTATATCATCCCAAATATCTAATGTGGTCAAGAAGCACAGTTTTTAGGATCCCGGTGTAAAAGAAATTAGGGTCCCCTGGGGATTACTGGCCCTGATTGTGGATACTATAATAAGGGAAAGAGTTGTATTTAGGTCACCATATAAATCAATGGAAAGTAGGACCATAATTTGATAGGACCTTCTACCCTTTTACACCTGGTTTTATAAATCAAAGACATGTTTTATATGTTCCTGTATAAATCATTCAAAAATTGCATTTCCATATTATAGAAAAATAAACACATACATGTAAGTAGATTTTTATTTCAAAATTGGCACAAGAAATGGTATGAGACGAAAATCCCCATGTCTAATTCTACCTTTAAGCTGAGTGACTTAATTGCTGTATAGTATTTACTAAGAACTTAACAACCAAATGAGTCAATGTGTCTCACCAATAAACCATTCGATTTTATTACCCTATTGATAATTAATGAAAAGTAGGTTTTACCTTGCATTCTTTATTGTGCCTTTCTGTATAATTAATATCCTTGATAATCTATTATGGTGGGTATCTATCAACACCCGATTTTGATTCAGGAATTGCTGTATGTGTGATATTAAAGTCAAATATAAACTTGTTTAATCCAATGTTTAATGTTTTGTTGGCATTTGTGCATAATACACCCCATTGATCTCTTGGATAAATAATACATTGAAAGCCAGTACGTAGTCAGGCAACAGTAAACATTCTATTGTGCATAAGGTCGAGATTTTCTAGTTTCGTTCAGTGTACCTTATTAATGAGATCCTATTTTTCTTTACTGCACAGAAACATTGATTACTTATGAAAGGACTACGATTACCAGCTCAGCATAGCATTTTTATTCCATTCGTGACTGCATTGTTTTTACAAGAGAAGGAAGTAATACTGACTTTTAATTTTACACGTTATTATTCCCAGTCAATTTTAGTTTGATTTTGTAAAGAAGGAAAACGATGTCATATTGGATAGAGTGTAATATGTCGGAAACAATCATTTCAAAGATCTCGCCGGTGTTTATCTAATTTTATTTTCTGAAATAGGTTATTGGAGAATTAAGATACAGAAATTTCCAAAGTCATTTGAAATGCAAATACCCCAAATTAAGGTTGAAATTTACATTCTTTTAAAATCATTTGATGGGTTGTGACTGGGATTTTCCGAGGCCACATGCGATGAAAAGTTCCATGTAAGTTCTTGTTGTTAAGTTTGATGCATTTTCCAAACAAACATATTTTATTTGTAAAAAATATAGGTTTCGAATAAACAAGATAGCAAGCAAAGCGAACAATTAACAAAAAGAACATATGACACAATCTGAACAACCATCATCTGTGTAATAGATCCCCATCGCTGATACGTTCTGCACAAAACAACATTGTAATAGCTAGGTTAGCATCTAATACATTTGACAACGGACATCTACTGCCTCGGTCACATTTGATGTACTACGGCAATCGTACGGCGGCCGTAGCTTCCCAAAATATCGAGGGAAATATGCAACATAAAATATAGGGATTAGCACAGTGTAGCAGTACGATGCCGATTTTCTATATCGATTTTGTGAAGCTAGGCCGTCGTAGAGTAACTGTGACTGACACTTTAGTTGCAAAACACTGATATTCTGCCCAATCATATTATATTGAACGGTGAATTTTTATCCATCGAGTAGGGCCTTTGAGTTTGTTTGATTCTGAGCAACCCTGTTCAAATCTTAAATGCACGCCCATGGTGGAATTTTCAGATATAGTTTGATGGTGCTTTTTGTTAGCCATGCGTTGTCAGCAACGTACACAATTGTTTGTGACTTCATGGTACGGCGGTCGGCAAAGGTAATTTGTCCCATATAGGTCTCATGGGTCTCAAACCATGGGACTGCACACTGGCGAATTAGGGGGGGGGGGGGGGGGGCTGGGGGCCCGGGCCCCCCCCCCCCTTGGGTGGGCCCAGAAAAAAAAATTGGGCCCAAAAAAATTTTTGGGCCAAAAAAGGCCTTTAGGCCCCCAAAAAGTCGGCCATTTTGGTCATTACTGGGCCTATTAAGGCCTTATTTTTTAAATTCAGGCCAAATTTTGAAGAAAATGGACCTCAAAATTTCAAAATTTTTTTTTTCTCTGACCTGAAATTTGGGCCCCCCCCCCTTGTTGGTTCCCAGATCCGCCCCTGCTGCATTTAGCGCAACGATTCATGGAGTCCAGCCAGTCCCACATGCGACTCTGAACGTCCCACCTAGCTCTATAAGAGCACACAGAAGGGAGATACATGTTCATCCTTTCACGGAAATTTTACTTGCGTCAAATTCAATGAGACTCAGTGAGGCAAGACATCTCACTCAGGCATATGAGAGTCCACGGCCAAAAACCACACCAGTCGATATCGGAAAATAATATACTCACGGGAAAACCGTCCAGATTCGGCAGCTGGTGTCCCGTTGATATAAACGTCTATCGTTCTGTTCACGTTGTTGGTGCAATTTCTATTAGGGGTCTCTCGTGGGGAGTATTGCCTTCCTGTCCCGGCTGAGGGCGGTGGGCCACCGTGCGTAGGCGGTCCGCCAAACGTGCCAATCTGTGGAAGACCCTCATCACGCAAAGAAACATGGCTATCTGAAATTAGTGTTTTAAAAATATTTCAATAACCTTAGCTATTCAACAACTTTTGTAATCAATGAGGATATGTCGTGAATCAGTATCAAACCGAAGTCTATCATAATCATCAAAAACATAATTTCTTTTTTTCTAATTTGGGGGCACTTAACCCAACTTTTCCATAAGGACAATCTGAACACACGATGCCTACTTTTGAAAACGAGGACGAAGCAAGAGTGGGGCAGGTCCACCAGCGTGTTTTAAAATAAGTTTGCATTCTTTGTTCAAAATGGTCACCTGAAATGACTTTGATCAATTCAACTACTGTAACACACCTAACATTCGCGTACATCTTGAATTCGCGTACATTCGCGAGGTGAAATTGCGAATTCAAGATGGCGCGAATTTAACATTGAAATGCCTCACCTCTATCAGAGACTTGTCAGAAACATTTAGACATTGTGAAATGTTGAACATGTATTGAACTGGTTTCTGTCTTAATCGTTCACAATCACTTGGGTAATGGTGATTTATTTATTATTCACTAATGAAGGGATGGAAATTGTACATTTAGTTACCTTTTGATAAAGTAGTCGAACGTTAAAAAGCGCATACCCTAATGAAGTCTAGCATACATCCTGCCTAAGGAGAAATCAATAATTTATCATGTCGAGACAATAGGAAATAGCATTAAGAGGTTCCAATTCGCATAGCTGACGATCAAACTGTAAACTAAATGAACAATCTATAGGTGACACAAAAATGCAGCCCTCTAACTTGGAAGAACTTTCTCAATTGTCAAAAAATCTTTTCGAATGTATTTTGTTAATAGCGTGTTCAAAGCGTGAAACAGTAATATAAAGAAGTTATTCACCAGGAGGGATTTGAGATGGGAATATTACAAGGATGATATCAATATTTCCCGAGGGAACGCAGTGATACTCACTGTTGATAATTCGTTTGTATTCGATTCCTGCTTGAGCGGCAATTGCCATGGCCAGAATTTGCTTCTCAAAAGATATTGTAAAACCCCCGTATATGTATTTTAGGAAAGGACACAAACAACATCGATCACGTCATGCTTGGTGCGGTGTTTGGTCTTTGGGTTGCTTGACTCTGAGGTGGGTGGCCTTGTATAAGTTTTGCTTTACAGTTCACATCATTAGTATTTGGCCAAATCGCCAGCCACTGGTCATGCTATCTATGGTTCAATTTGGTGATGCCATAGGTTCCCCTGTGTCTTCATGCTAGAAAAATTAAACTATATACAATACAAACAAGTCACACAATTCATCACTGTAGGGGTATAGAGGGTATATTTACAATATAATGGGACAGACAATTATAATATGGAAACTTAGAACAATTATACAGTTTTTCTGGCATATGCTGTTATTGAATCGCATGATCATGTAATGTCGGGCAGAGCGACTCATCCATGGAACGAGTTAGCCGAAGCATGTACATCTAGATGCAGATTTTTTTGTTCATGGTCTGTTTATGCATAGTGTAGTCCTTGTAAACGGCAACTGTATACTTTGCAATAATTAAAATAATTTTTCATATGAATTCACATATTTTGGTATTCGTATATTGATAAAAAATAGTGTTTGATATTTTTGAACGGGTCGTAATATT